TTTTCAAAAGAAGACATATATGAAGCTAACAAACATATGAAACAATGCTCATCATTACTTGTCATTAGAGAAATGCAAATTAAAACCACATTGAGATACCATCTCACACCAGTCAGAATTGTGATCATTAAAAAAATCTGGGCCGGGCGCGGTGGCTGAAGCCTGTAATCCCTGCACTTTGGGAGGCCGAGGCGGGTGGATCACAAGGTCAAGAGATCGAGACCATCCTGGTCAACATGGTGAAACCCCGTCTCTACTAAAACTACAAAACATTAGCTGGGCATGGTGGTGTGTGCCTGTAATCCCAGCTACTCAGGAGGCTGAGGCAGGAGAATTGCCTGAACCCAGGAGGCAGAGGTTGCGGTGAGCTGAGATCGCGCCATTGCACTCCAGCCTGGGTAACAAGAGCGAAACTCCGTCTCAAAAAAAAAAAAAAAAAATCTGGAGACAACAGATGCTGGAGGGGATGTGGAGAAATAGGAACACTTTTACACTGTTGGTTGGAGTGTAAATTTGTTCAACCATTGTGGAAGACAATGTGGTGATTCCTCAAGGATCTGGAAATAGAAATTCCATTTGACCCCACAATCCCATTACTGGGTATATGCCCAAAGGATTATAAATAATTTTATTATAAAGACACATGCACACGAATGTTCATTGCAGCACAGTTTACAATAGCAAAGACCTGGAACCAACCCAAATGCCCATCGACGATAGACTAGACAAAGAAAATGTGGCACATATGCACCATGGAATACTATGCAGCTATAAAAAAGATAAGTTCATGTACTTTGTAGGGACATGGATGAACCTGGAAACCATCATTCTCAGCAAAACTGACACAAGAACAGAAAATCAAACACCGCATGTTCTCACTCATAGGCGGGTGTTGAACAATGGGAACATGTGGACACAGAGAGGGGAGCATTGCACACCGGGGTCCATTGCAGGGTGCTAGGGGAGGAAGAGTGTGAGGGAGAGTAGGGAGGGATAACGTGGGGAGAAATGTCAGGTATAGGTGATGGGGGGGATGGAGGCAGCAAACCACTTACAATGAATGTACCTATGCAACAATCTTGCCTGATCTGCACATGTACCCCAGAATCTAAACCAGAATTTAAAAAAAAAGGCTGACTCTCCCATTAATAAGGGGGAACTTCTCCTGCCTGAATGCCTTTAGCCAGGACATTAGTCTTACCTGCATTCAGACTTGAACTGAAACACTGGTTCTTTTTGAGTCTCAAGCCTGCCAGCTTTTAAACTGGAGCTTACACTATCAGTTCTCCTGGTTCTCTGGTTGTTGGACTCAGATTGTAACTGCATCATATGCTCTCTTGGGTCTTCGACTTGCTGATTGTAGATCTTAGAACTTCTCAGCCTCCAGAATTATGTCAGCCAATTCCTGATACTAAATTTGTATATACACACACACATACTATTGGTTCTGTTTCTCTGGAGAACCCCGATTAATACAGTTTACTATTGCTGCTGTAACAAATTGCCAAACTTAGTGGCTTAAAACAATACAAATTTATTACATTTCCGGATGTTAGAAGTCCGACATGGGTTTCACTGGGCTAAAATCCAGTTGTCAGCAGGGCTCTGTTTCTTTCTTGAGACTCTAGGAAAGAATCAGTTTCCCTGCCTTTTCCAGCTTCTAGTGGCTGCTCACATTTGTTGGCTCAAGGCCCGGTTTCCGTCTTCAAAGCAAAGAACAGCAAACTGAGTCTTTCTCACAGCAAGTCATTCTGATGTTAACTCTCTTACCTCCCTCTTTCACATTTAAAAGGCTCTTATGATTACATTAGGATATTTGGATAAACCTGGATGACTTCCTTATCTTGGGGGCAGCTGATTAGTAGCCTATATTCTGTCTGCAAGCTTAATTCCTCATTGCCATGCAATATAACATATTCATAGGTCCAGGGATTAGGATGTAATCCTCTATGGGGCCATTATTCTGCCTGTCCCAGCCCCTTCCCACATTACTGCTTAAATTTTCTTCATATAACTGTCTCTCTTAATATATTATGTTTACTTAATTGGTTGTCTGTCTCCTCTTCCTAGAATATAAACTCCATGAGTACAGGGCTTTATTTTGTTCACTCTTGTATCCTGGGCTCCAAAAACAGTGCCTGAAACATAGTAAGGCACTGTTTGTTTAAAAAAGCATCTTTTGACTAATTAACGAGGTGAGAAATTTTGTTAGTGAGGACTACAGGAGGGCCCTAACCACTTCTTGCTTTATAATGAAGAGTCAGGAATTTGAGTGGGAAATAATAAACTGGCCTACACAAAGCACTGTTGAAAGACCTAAAAAAAAGTTACAAAGTTACACACTTTCTCCCTCCTATTTTTATTAATAAATGGCCCCAGAGAAGTAGAGACTATAACTGTCCCAATTCAGGGACAAAACTTCTAAATATCAAAAAACTGTTTAGGTTTGACATAAATCCTTCAAGCTGGAGGGGTTTTTGCTTTGTTTTCCTGGTGACTGCTTTGTACTGCCTACTGTGGTAAGGCTTTCTATGCTTCAGTAAAACCAGGAGTAAGATAGGTTCACAAGTGTTTGCTTTACTATTTCATAGTAGCCAAATAGTGGTAGTCTCACAGTGAAGTACCACACCTGGTGTACGTCATACTCTCCACCCCGAATAGGCCCTTACATTCAGGAAGGCCATATAACTTAGGTTAAGATTTTAAGTGCATGAGCCCCGGAGTTAGACCGAATTCAAATCCCAGCTTTGTCATTACTACAATAACTATTAGCAAGTTTCTTATCCTCTCTGAGTCCAGTTTCCCCATCTTCAAAATGGAGACAGTGATAGTACTTAGGCCATGGGGTTCTTGTAAAGATTAACTGAGATAATCCTTATAAAGCACTTACAGCCTGACACTTAGTAAGTACTCAACTAAAGTACAGCACCATTTTCATTTGGCAATCCACCTAAATTTTCTTTATGTCCTATTGAGTTAGCAAATAAAGCTGGATGAAACTGGAACAAGTTAGATCGTCCCGATACAAATCAGTACCCATACTCTCTTTATACTAGCAAGGGTTTCCAGTTACAACATATTACCTATGGAACACAAACTTCCCAGGGATTGCTTTTGTCTACAACAGCACTTCTCAAACTTACAGATCACTTTAAGAATCAGTGGTTTAAAATGTACATATCATACATGGTATAATGCCTTCATTTTATTATTGCCAAAGTGGTGAACCCACGTTTTTCCCATACTTGTTTCCATGTCTACATTTCCTCTTCTCTTCCCTAAAGCAGTGGTTTCCAAAGTGTAGTCCCTGGACCAGCAGGATCAGCATCATCTGGGAATGTGTCAGAAGTGCAGATAGATGAGCCTCACCCTAGACCTGCTGAACCTGACACTTTTGGGGTGGGGCAGCAATCTGTTTTAATAAGCCTCTCTCCAAGTGATTCTGATGCATACTTAAGTTTGAGACTCACTGTGCTATCCTACTGACATAGTTAACATGGCCTATAAAAAGCATTATTTCATTGTGTCATTTCATTTTATCTCTAATTTTGATTTCTTCTCTCCATCTGTTTCTATGTGAATGCCTTCACCATCTACCTGATTCTACTTGTTTCTAAATGACTGCATCTTTGGATAAATATATATCTCAAAACTCTGTTGTCTTCAGTGACAAAAATAGCTATTTGGCCATCACCATAAGAAGGACCTCATTTTTCTAACCTTTTCAAAACATCCATGACCAAGTTATAACTAGAATCTGAGCAGGGACTGAATGCACTAAGGGCAAATAGGATAAAGATATAACTATGATTTTTCTGGGTTCATCTAATTTAATGCCTCTGTATGTATCAATATCTATCTTAAGAAGAACACATTCCAGTAGTATGAATGTCTGATTTAGAAGTAAGTGAATCCCACTTCTAAATCCCACCCCAGATACTGAAAATAATGGTAACATGCCAAATCGTGACTCATTACTAGTCACAGAATACACCCCTGTTCAATATCTTTTCATTTTCCTGAACTCTTTTCATTTTCCTAGATGCTAACAGGATAGAGACTCTAGAACACTTAGATCTCTCCTTCTGCAGAAGATTCACACAGCTATTGACAGAATTAGTACCATAAAATTCTTTTACAAGTTGAGAGTTTTAGTCTACATAACGTAGACCACTCAAAACAACAGCTTTTTTTTTTTTTTTTTTTTTTTTTTTTTTTGCTTCTCAGCGAAAACTCCACTTATTCCTCAACTGGGAATAATAAACTAAGATGAGAAGAGGTGAGAGACCAGTGGTCTAGAAGTTCCTTTATGACACAGAGAAGGAGAAATGAGATGAGTCTACTGTCTACTGTGCTATAGATTCCATAAATGGTTCTGTCTTCTGTTTTCAATTTTCAAATGGACATTGAAAAGGTTAGGGCTTTGAGTAATTCTAGTTAGTGTTATTAAATTCCATTTCTCACAGTTCACAGTGCTTCATTTTTTCCTTGGTGGGTAAAGTTAAAGACAATTGCCAGCTTGAAAAAGGTTTTAATACTGCTTAATAGAATAATGTAGGTATATTTCATTGGGTGATATGGAATATATACAATTAACCACTCCTGGACCTCATAAATTCTACTTTCCCTCCCCCTTTTACGCATTCCTTCTCCAGTTGCATACTTTCAATACACTTCAAGCATGGATTACTACCAGAGCTTCCCCACCTGCCATCAGTCAGTTCATATGGTCTAGGTTAACTTTCTTTCAAAATTGTTTGCATATAATTTCCTTGCTCAAAGTCTTACAATGCTTTCCTGTATCCTATCACATTTAGATGTCATATATCTGAATTCTTCTGCCTTGCTTTAAGGCCATAATCTGGCTACATCTTTCCCATCCAACTTTATTCTGTGCCTTTCCAACCAAAAGGTCTACTTCACCTAGGATAACTGTGAAATTCCTTTACTTTCTTAGGACAAAGTTGAAAAAACAAGGAAAAGAAAAATAGACACTGAAATCCCTAACAGCAAAAGTTTATTTACAATTGAAGTTAAGGAATATTTTTAATGCATGCTGAGAAAACAGTAATACTCCAAACTTACAGGTTACTTACTATCTGATAAGGAATACAAGATGATGCTGAGAAAGGCTTTGGCAAATACAACGATTAGAACCAGGTTGCCAGTACATTTAAACACTATTAGAACCTTGTTATCGGAAAACTTACATATCATCTACTTTTATGTTACACTGACTTCATGAACAATTCGTCTTCTAACTCCTCAATGGCTATTTAAGTAAATAGCATTCAAGGTTAAACATTAAGACTAGGGAGTAGAGAAGAAATACAGAAGCAATAAGCATCACAACATTTCGGAGCCTACATATATGAATACAACATTAAGATTAATTATGAAACTTTAAATTTTTGTGTGAAACAATATTCATCAATGTTTAGTGCATGAGAAGACACTGCTTTGGTCCATCCACTCTTTCCAGCTTTTCAAAGTGTTTCCTGGCATTGCGGATGTTGATCAGAGTAGCTGCAGAAGCTGAGGGTAGGGGCGGGGAGACACCCAACAGAATTAAGTATGGGCAGCCAAAGGAATGTCTGACTAGTAAAAGCAAATAAACAAAAGAGAGCCAAATCCCTCAATGTATGTCAGAGAACACACAGAAATAGGAGGTCCCAAGTTATCAAGGTTTAATTTTTCCAAATAAGCAGAAGATTTATTCATATTCTAAACACAAAATTTTCCAAAATAAATTTCCAAAATCTTTTGGTTTGGAGCTAAAAGCATAAAACCTGTAAATTTGTTATATTTTAATATTAACTGTAGGAAAAGCCAACGGATGTGAGATTAAACTTCTAGGACCATCCTGAAAATACTGCAAGAACCTTTATTTCAATGGTTGTGACAGTCATGGCCATTATGGTATGGAAGCATCAAACACCCCTTCATGCTCATAGCAAAAATATGAGAATATAGTACATAGGAATATGCAATGATATATAAAATGGTTTGTCATTTAATAGTTTAGAGTTTAGATTGACTAGTCTTTTAAAAATCTATACCATATGGAGCATAAATCATGGATTTGGGTTCTCTTTTCTTTAAAATTCTTGGATTTAGTGACTTGTTTTTTCAAGTACCCATGAAGAAAAACGTAGTACCCTGGAGGTTAAATTATTTTTAAGCTTTAAAATATAAGTCTATTAAATAAAAACTACCACTAGTACTAAAATAGTCTTTTTTTTATTTTGGTAAAATATACATAACACAAAGTTTATTATTTTAATTATTTTTAAGCATACAGTTCATTGGGATTAAGTGCCTTCACACTGTTGTGTAAGCATCCCCACTAAAACAGCTTTTAAGTATCTAATAAAGTACTACCTCTGGGACAACTGTTTAAAGAATATGTGGCTTTGAACCTAGGTCAGCTAAGTTTAAACTTACGAATGGACGGATCAGACATCACAACCATCACATAAGTGTTGGATGTAAAGATGTCAATGAAAGCAGCGAAGTTAGAATTCCTGACTTCCATACTCTGGAAAGAGGCAGCCAGCTTGCTATAGGAAAAAGAAGAAAAGTGAGTAAAGAACAAAATAATAACACCGTAACAACCTCTTTATCATTTATGTTAAACATTTTTTATAGCATTATACCTCAATTCACCACTTCATTAAGATGGTTACTCACTAACTCCACTTTTTCCAAGGAAACTTTTATACTGAATTTATCGTATTTTGAAAAGTAACCGGGACAAAAGTGGGCTAGGATTTGATTTTTTTTTTAATTTTAATTTATTTTTTTACGAGTCAGAGTCTCACTCTGTCACCAAGACTGGAGTGCAGTCTGGCTCACTGCAGCATCGAAATCCTGGTTCAAGTGATCCTCCTGCCTAAGTCTCCCACGTAGCTGGGACTACAGAGGTGCATGCCACCACATCTGGCTAAAGCACTTGAAACTGACTGTGAAATGAAAATTGGCTTAGACCTAGATCCATGTTTAAAATCATGTTTCAAAAGACGTCTCCAGTGTTGAAATTTCCTTATCATTGAAATTAATACATGTATCTTTTCAGAGTTACATTTAAATTCAAGAAATGATCCTATTTCTTTGAAAACAAACAAGGCAACTATATTTGCTTATCATTGGCTATTTCTTCTTAAAAATGTTAGCGTTACGACATTCCAGAAAGTCTCAAAGTGTACTAAGGCATAAAGACAGTAAGCTTATACTGTTGTTCTGGCATCAAACTTTTATCAGGGTAAGGATTTTGATTATTAAATCTTTGCTAAATTATGATGTTCAGCCATTCTTTTCCTATATTCACAATGCTATGATTCAAATTTTATTTAATGAAAGCTAATACAATATGATTAAACACTTCTAGATTCTCTATTCTGTACCATTTCTGAATCAGTACCTCACTATTTTAATTACTTAAAATAGTAAATACTTAAAGTAGTAATTTTAGATAAATTTTGGTATTCAGTATGGCAAATTTTCCTTCATTCCTTCTTCTTTTTCAAAACTCTCTTCGATATTCTGTTTATTTCTTCCCAGATAGTATCAATCATCTCAAAAGGATATTCTGTTTGGATATTTTTCATATGCTTCTTCTGTACCAGCTGAGTTTGCATTAAAGGACAAGGACCTGCACTTCGGTCAACTGGAGGCCCCTTAGAATTTAGCTTTCTCTTTGATTGAAGGAACTATTCTGAATATAGAAGTAAACTATAGTTATTTGAACTTCTATAAAATGACAACAATTTTTTCAAGAGATAAGGAGATCATACCTACAAGATCTCTTACCTGCAGCTCAGCTTGAACTGCTTAATAATGTTGCTTATTTTCTCAAATCTATGGGCATCACGCTGTTCTTTACACTGATAGTGAGAAATTACCTATAAAAAAAAATATTGTCCTTTGAATCCATGCAAAACAGTCATCCTCTGCTACTCCTCAAAGCAGACATTTGTCAGTCCCTTGGTCACTCTAGTTTTCAAGGTAGACTTGGGAGCTACCTGGCTTGTTTTTTCTTTTCCTCTGTCCTATATCTTACCAACATTCTGTGTGATTTCAACATCCATTTGGATGGCCCATCTAGTACCGTTTGGTTTTAATTTTATTAAATCATTTAAGTATTGCCTATTTTGGTTCACTGCTATTTTTTCTAACTTTAATCACTAAATATTCATTTTATTTCAATATTTCACAATAGTCTTTGATTTTTAAAAAGTATAAATCAAAAAGAAAAACAAATAAAAATTACTAGCTGTTCTCGAAGAGTATATCATGTGTTTAATTTTAATAAGGGCCAAGCTAACCAAATAGCTTTTGGAACTATATCTTAAAAGCTTAACTGGTTGATTCTAATCCCTGAGGACTATTTACAAATGAGCTTATTCAGGATGGACACCCACACCAGCTGAAAATACTTTTTCTAACATTTTCAGATTTTAATAAAACCACACAAGTATTACCTAAAGGCTGAATATACCAGTGCAGAGTAGGAAGCAAAACTGAGTCACTCACCAGACGAAAACTCACAGGCAAATTCCATGACACAATGTGAAAATTTCAAAACATAATTTCTAAACCAATGGAAGAACAAATTCCCCTTGCTTGACTTCACCCCACCTCAGTGAAAATGTTCAGTCACCTTTAAACTTGGTCTCAAGAGAAACAAAAACTACGTGTTACTTTTAGTGAGGAACAGGGAGCTTATATTAGGTTAACCTCTACAACCATGTGTGGCAGATCATGCTAGGAGAATACTGCGGAAGAAGGTTTTGGTCCTGCCACGTATGTCAAGATGGAATAGCTTTCTTGCTCACTGCTACTTACACTAGAAGGAAAAACAGGCTCAGGGTAGCACAGTTCCAAGCAAGTGACCTCTGCCAGTGGGCTGAGACAAAAAGATACTCTAATTAGGACTCCTTGCCCATCTGTACCAGCTAGCAAGAAGGATGGCTCCCAAATACTTCTAGGGTTACAAATAATATTTCCACAAATGGAGAGGGGAAAATTGTACTTTGGATTCTCTGCCCTGTTGTTATAGTAGCAAAAGGAATCAATACTTAATAGTTTACCAACTAAATGCCAAGGCTTGCTAGGTGCTCAATGTTCCTGTAGCCCATTTTAATCTGCACAATAAGCCTATGATACAGATATTTGTAGAAGGAAAACAAGCCCCTAGAGATTAAGAATTGTTTCTAAAATCACCAAGCATTGGCAAGGCTCAGAAAAAAATTATTCACTGGGAACTGCTCTTAGAGTTATATTTACCAAGGCTAATTAGCAATTACTTATGCAGTGTGTTGTGAAATCTTAAATTAGTTTCTATTATTGCTATTTTTAAAATGTATTTACAAATACATTACCAGTTTTTGCATCCCCCTTTCAGGGCTATATACACAGTAAGCTTCAATATAGTTGCCAAGTTCAATTTACAAGAAAAATTAAAATACCAACATGCCTCTTTCCCTCTCTAATTCTTCATGTGAACTCCTATGTCACTGAGATGACCATAACATCTCTTCTATGTTAAAAGTTTTCAATCAGTCTTTTAGAGAAAAGGATAGGATGTGAGTTTTCTCAAAAGGAAAATATCCCACATTTCATAATAAAAGTCCACAGGAAATAGGAATCCATTAACACAAATGAACAGTTATTAGCACAAATAATCTGAGCTCTCTAGTAAGACACACCTGCAAAAATCTAAGGTTCACTAACTTCTAAAGAACTACACACCAAAGAGCTTCTTTCAGGTCACTTGCTGACAATACTATTTTACAAATAAGGCTGTACATGGTGAAGTTGACAAGAGGAAAAAAGATTCTTCCTGAAAGCAGTGACATGCTATTCTCTGTTGCTGAAAACAAAGAAGGTACAGTGTGAAGTTCATCCGCAACAGAGAAAGTTCTTACCAGAAAAGTGGCTCTCTCAAACAGAAGTACTTCATCCGCTTCGATAATTTCAGCAAAATTCCTTAGGTTCATTTCTAGCTGCTGAACATTGGGAATCAGCTGATAAACTATGCTGGACCAAGCCTAACAGAACAGAAACACAGTGTACTATTATTAACAGCTAGCCAGTCCCAGACCTTTGAAATGAGTAAGTACACTATAACATGTGGACAGCAAAATATGATGATAATCCAGTCCCAAACAAAGACTGACATTAAATATGATATAACACAAATGAAATGAGAAAATGAAGCTAGCATCTGATTTTTACTCTTGAGTTGAAATTTTTTTAAGTTCAGACACTTTTGAAAAATGCTGGAGAAACTTCTTTCCACTGATAATTGGAAGCAAACAAATATTTAATGCTATCATGTTGCCTTAGGAACAAAGTTGAAAAATATGATCTACTGTGCTTAGAAACTTCTAATCTAATCATTAAACAAATATTTAAGTCCAACAGTGTAGATTTCTCTAAAGATCAGAACCTAATGATGCTATATTTAACATACACCCAAAAATCAATTTTATGAAAATAGCAGAGCCACATAGACAAATGGGCCCTCCCCTCAATGGAATAATATACCATTACAAGAGAAACTAGTGGCATTATCATTCCCAAAGGTCTGTTGTTATCTGCATAAATTATTGATCAACTGAATTCAAAATGGTTTGTGTGTTTGCCTAAAACTGACTTCATCCAGGAGTATGACTAATGTAAGCAGTTGAAATTAACTACACTCTCCCTCTATTCTTGTAGGCTCTTTGATTTGTATTTTCATAATACTTCCTTCACTCTCACTCCAATTTGTCTGGTAAGGTGTACTTTGTTCTTCTCTCCCCTACGAGAGGGCAGGAACCTGGTCTTAGTCATTTGTGTATCCAACAGCATCAAGCAGGTATGTAATGAGTGCTTGTTGAATAAAACTTAATATAAAAATTTAAGTCAGCTCTATGCAACATGGATGTAAGAGATAGAAGTGCCATGTCTCTGTTCCAATTAATTTTATTACTTAGGCATGAGGGTTCAGGTTCCAAGTTCCCAGGTCGGTGTTAATGTCACTGCTGAATTTACCTTGGAGAAGGCACCAAAGCTAACCACAGCAGAGACATTGTCACTCACAGCAGTGTTGTGATTAGCCAATTGTCTTTGGTCGTGTTATGTATTGCCATCCTTCACACCGCAGTTGGTTCTTATCAGTGCGTCATGTCCATCCTTATTCACGGTTACCTGTTCTATGGGAATAAGGCTTTGAGAGAAATTCGGCCCATATTAATCTAGAACAGTATTTCCTAGACAGGTATCTCAAAATGATCTGTTATTAGAGTGAAGCTGGGTCAACATAATATTGGGGAAAATGAATTAGTTAAAAAAAAAAAAAAGCAATGCTATTTAAAAGTCCAATGGTTTTTCTCCTTGGCATGTCAGGTTTCTGTGCTTTTGGTTGTAGATACTTGTCAGATGCCGTTGACACTGAGTCTTTAGCTACCAGTGACAGAGAAGGGTGCTTTCCTACCCAGAGTCAGACTTGTCAATGGATACCAGAAACAGTCTGAAGAAAAGGGTTAACTATAGGAGGATCCAAAAGGAGCTAGTCCTTCAAATAACTACATCCATAGAAGAAAGGGAGGAATCAGGATAAGGAGCATATGTGCCCAGTAAGGTAATTTCAGCATCATCCATAACAAAACTATTGTTGTAACCTGTATAATTAGTGTAAGCAGTGTGGTATCCATTCCAGCAATGGGAACAGTATTTCTGGTTGAAAGAATGCTCGTCTCCAATTTGGCATGAATGTTGAAGCTATTATATCATATGCTAGGCATAACATGTCTGATTCTAAGACTCCTTCTCCAGTCTCTTCCCTAAATATTTTCATTTTATTGCCATCCAAACTTAGGCAAACTAGTTTATATCGTGTAGTGTACCTGAATACTAGATACAACTCCAATCAGCATTGAGACCACAACAGGTCAAAATGGATGATGGCCAGTAAGTGAAACCTCTGCATATCACAAAGACCAGTATCAAATTAATCATGACCAAACCAGCTAATTCAGTGTGATTTGGTAACTATGTCGACCCAATCTGGTATCAAAACCCAAGTCTCTTAAAGTTTGATATTCTTCAATTTGTTGCAGATTATTTCTCTTTTTAGTACAACAAATCTAGGTGGCTATGAAATAGTTTAAAATATTTTAGTTTTGTTAATATTCTTCTAGTTTTTTTTTTCATGCTCTTAAAATGAGGGAACTCAGGGAGACATACACACCTTATAGAGAGTTTCATCCCAGATAGATGTTCGGAAACAAGAACATTCCAATGGGCGAGACAAACGCCTCAAATCTTCTTCTCGCTCTTTAAAAATCTAAATTAAAAAGCCCAACATACTGATCAACATATAATAGTGCTCATCTTTCAGTCTAAGATGAAGTTATTTTATCCTATTTTAACCAGAGTTTTTATTCCTTTCTAAGAGGAATTTCAAGTATGTCTATTTCACAAACTAAGATGGCAGAAATTGTTTCAGGTCAGATCTGAAGTGCAATAGCTAGAATTCTTCAGTCCTATTCTGCTTATGCTGAATGCTCGCTATGAGCACTATGTTTATAAATAAAGCTTATCATACAGAAGAGTCTTATTAAAATATATCAAACATTCCAAGTCACCAAATCTGGGTCATTTTAAGATAGTTATACCCATATCAAGAATTTATAAATGAAAACATTTTAACCTTTGTATATATATTTCTCTCTCAGACACATATATACATATGGAAAAATATCTATATAAACATATACACAGATATTTTGCCAGGAGTCAGTGGGTTAGTGTTAAATATGTACATATACACTGTGATTATTAATTTTACGTGTCAAGTTAGCAAGGCCATGGTACCCAGACATTTGGTTAAACACCAATCCATATGTTGTTGCAAAGGCATTTTTCAGTTAAGATTAACATTTAAATCAGTAGACTCTGTAGACTCTGAGTAAAGTAGTTTATTCTCTATAATGTGGGTGGGCCTCATCCAATCAGTTGAAGGCCTTAAGAGAAAAAGCCTGACATTTCCCCAAGAAAAAAGAATTCTGCCTCAATGCTTTCTCACTTGAACCACAAAATTAACTGCATTAACTCTTCCATGCGTCTCCAGTCTGTCGGCCTGCCCTGCAAATTTTGGACTTGCTAGTCTTTACAATTAGTTGAGAAAATTCCTTAAAATCAGTCTCAATCTTTCTCAATCTCTCTCTCCCCCCACCACCCCTGCCACACACATATGTATGTACATGCGTATTCACATATTCTATTAATTCTGTTATTCTGGAGAATCCTAACACAGACCTTAGTAATGACAGTGATTCTAGAGAAGAATCTTAAGGATGGTTTCTAAATTGGTTCTGGGGTTAGTTCTCTAATCTGATTAGATTTAAAGGCCCTAATGACTCTTTCCAGTAGAAAAAAGAGTACTGATAATCCATAATGTGACGTGGCAGCAGAGCACAAAATACCACCACTGGATATTCCTAATAAAATACTTTTGAGAGGCAAGGTTTCAGGTGACCACATATATAATTTTGAATGAGATTGGCTGGCTGATGCTAATTGTGCTGAACAAAGTAGAGAAAGGATGAGCTAAGAGATTTGAATTATTAGTATAAGTACTAGATGAATGACCATAAAGTTTCTATGACTGCCCTGAAAAAAAACTCTTACCCATATAGTTGCAGAGCTGAGACTGATGAAAACCAAATTCAGAATCTCATTCTTTAAGTGGATGAATTACAATGTAAACTAAATTCACAACCTCACAGGTTGCTTGCTAATAAAGTGAGGGCACTGACCAGGAAGAAATAGGATTCTAAAATTTGGAATGGAGGTTATTTGGGAAGATCCTGATGAAGCTGGCAAAATTGAACTCTTAAATTCTGAGTCTTCTTTGCCAGTAGAAGAAGGCACTCCATCCGTATCTGAGATTAACTTTATTTGGCCTGAGACACCCCTGAGGTATCTGCCATGCAAGGCACTCCTGATTCACCCCCACAACTCCTCTTTGCTTCTAGACCTATAATTAATTCAAGTCTCAGCAGACTCCTAAAGGTGAGGTGTGAAGTGTGACCCATAAGGAATTATGCTCTACTCCATAGTACTACATAATTTCTCCAATTTACACAGACAAAAGCCAAGGAAATATGTATAGGAATAGATATTAAATGTATGGGATAATGGTGAAAAAATATAAAGTTGGATTAGGCTGAATTTACTGATACGAGCTCATTAAGCAGCAGTTCCACACTTCCACACTTAATGTTACAGCCCATGGGGTAAGAACGAGCTTTAACAGTTTGTTTGAACAGTTGGATGAAACATGGACTAAAAGGTGGCCTAAACGACATGAAGTTGAAATGCCAGAACTGCCTTGGTATACTCTAGAAGAAGAGATCCATAGGAGAAGAGGCTTTAGGGACACTGGAATGTTCAAGTATTAAAAGGTTTATTTAAGGCCTACTCACCAAACCTGGGAGGTTCTGGAAGACACACCTTTCTCTCATCATGACTGTGAAAAATAAATTTGTGAGGGCAGCCCTAGCCTAGATCTGTCTCATGTAGGTCCAGTGCGTCCTTGCAACCTTCTTGTGGGTTATTTTCCCTGTTCCATAGTACATAATTGAAACAGACATACTCAGCAACTGTCAGAATCCCTCACTGGTTCCTTGACCTGCGAAGTGAAGGTTATTGTGGTGGAAGAGCCAGGCAGAACCCATTAGAATGACTTCTTTCCTCAATTATGTGACTATTCTTCTCTATAGGCTAGAACTTATAGAGGGAACTGCTGGCACTGAATTGGGAAACCTAAATGCGACGGAAGTAGTTGGATCCTAGAATGGCAGGAACCAAGTGGGGGCACTTAATCACCAAAGACAAGGTGGGCATAGTACTATAACTGAAGCAGTGTCAAAGCATTAATCAGAATAGTCTGACTTGTAGAGACCTATGGTGTTGGACAGTTATCATGATGTTCTTAGAAGTGAAAAGGATGGGAAGTCTACTAAATTTTTGCTTGATCTGTATATGTGGAAGAATTCTAGGTTAAGCAATAACAAATTTAATTTGAATTATTAAATTGGAGAGTCACGGCTTCTCAATCAATACCCAGATTTGTACCAGTTTACAAACCCAGACCCCTTGAATGAAGGGGAGCCTGGGTCCCCTTGAGGAAGGACACTGCCAAGTATTTATATGGTTAATCTTCCTCCCAGCCTCCTTCAAATGGAGCCATGTAGCCTTTTACCAGGAGAAAAGGAAATAATCTACTACTGGGCGTTGGCTCTGAATTGACCCTAATTCCAGGGATACCTAAAATGTAACTGTGGTCCACCAGTCAAAGTAGGGCCTTATAAAGACTAAGTAATCAATGGAGTTCTAGCTCAGATCTGTCTTATGTAGATACAGTGCGTCCTTGCCACCTTCTTGTGGGTTATTTTCCCTGTTCCATAGTACATAATTGAAACAGACATACTCGAACAACTGTCAGAATCCCTCATTGGTTCCTTGACCTGTGGAGTGAAGGTTATTGTGGTGGAAGAGCCAGGCAGAACCCATTAGAATGACTTCTACCTGGGAAAATGGTAATCAAAAGCAATACTGCATATTCCTGGAGGGATTGCAGAGGTTAGGGCCACCATCAAAGACTTGAAAAATGCAGAGTTGGTGATTCCCACCATATCCTCCTTCAACTCTCCTATTCAGCCTGTGTAGAAGACAGATGACTCCTGGACAGTGGATTATCACAAACTTAACTAATGATGACTGCCATTATAGCTGCTGTGCTAAATGTGGTTTCATTGCTTGGACAAATTAACACATCCCCTGGTACCCGTATGCAGCTAGTTTTCTAACAAATGCTCTTTTCTCCACACCTGTCTTTATTAAGGCCCACCATAAGTACACTCTAAGTTGTTTGCTTTCAGGGGGCAAGTCCAGCAATACCACTGTCCTGCTGCAGAGGTATATCAGCTGTCTAGTCCTATGTCATAATTTGTTTCACAAGAACCTTGACCATCTTTCTCTTTTACAAGATATTAGGCTAGTCCATTACACTGATGACATTATGCTGATTGGACCTAATGAGTGAGAAGCAGCAACTACATTCGACTTACTGGTAACATAGCTGCATGTCAGAGGATGGGAAATCTGACAGAAATTCAGGGGCCTTCTACCTCAGTGGAATTTCTAGGAGTGCAGTGATATGGAGACATATCCCTTGTAAGGTGAAGGACAACTTGTTGCATCCTACAACCCAGAAAGAGGCACAACATGTAGTAAGCCTGTTTGGATTTTGGAGGCAACACAGTCTTCATTTGGCTGTGTTACTCTGGCCCATTTACCAAGTGACCCAAAAACCTGACAGTTTTGAGTGGGTCCCAGAACAGAAAGTGGCTCTACACAACAGATTCAGGCTGCTATTCAAGCTGCTTTACCACTTGGGTCATATGATCCAGCACATCCAATGGTGCTTGAAGTGTCAATGGCAGATAGCAATGCCATTTGGAGTCACTGGCAAGCACCCACAGGTGAATTGGAGCACATCCCTTCAGGACATTGAAGCAAAGCCCAGCTGTTGTTCACAGATAACTATACTCCTTTTGGGAAATAGTTCTTGGTTTGTTATTATGTCTTAGTATAGACTGAATACTTAATCAGGGGCCACTAAGTTACCATGAGACCTGAGCTACTACTCATCACGAACTGGGTGTTATTTGATCTACCAAGCCATAAAATTGTGCATACACAGTAGGACTCCATCACCAAATTAAAGTGGTATATATGAGATCAGGCTAAAGTAGGACTTGGATGAATACTTAAGGAACATTGCCACAGTCCCCATTCCTGCTATATTACCCTCTCTCTGTTTTTTTTTTTTTTTTTCTCACTGTGTTGCTCAAGCTGGAGTACAGTGGCATAATCTCTGCTCACTGCAACCTCTGCCTCCAAGGTTCAAGTGATTCTTGTGCCTCAGCCTCCTGAGTTGCTGGGACTATAGGCACATGGCGCACGCCACCACACCCGGCTAATTTTTGTATTTTTAGTAGAGGTGGGGTTTTGCCATGTTGGCCAGCCTGGTCTTGAATTTCTGACCTCAAGTGATCCGCCCACCTCAGCCTCCCAAAGGGCTGGGATTATAGGCATGAGCCACCATGCCTGGCCTATACTACCCTCTCTTTTCCAGCCTGCAACTATGGTCTTATGGGGAGTTCCCCACAATCAGCTGACAGAGAAAGAAGGGAACTCAGGACTGGTTTACAGATAGTTCTGCATGACACACAGGCACCATCTGGAAGTGGGCAACTGTATGAGATAGTCCTGAAA